CCAGTGCAGCATAACATACCAGTCCTCAGAAAAGTCTAAAAAATCAGCAAATCTGTTTAACAGTCTTTAATTGACCCTGTCGCCAAGTGTTACGCGATTCGAAGGTTTATTCATTTTACTGAGACTTGCTAAAAACGGTCAACATTCACCGTTAATTTGGGTCCGTTGAATCGAGGAACCGTCTGAACAACTCTCGGGTTACGAGAAGTGAAATCTTCCTTTGGAACACAGAGCAAGCCAATCCGTCATCAGGCTGGGTGCTGCGATACGCCAACAGCCTGCGAAGCTTCGTGTTTGGCTGCTCATGTAATGTTCGTCTTCCGACTGCTTCGACATCACGAGAACTGATTTTGACCCACCACCACCAACTCCGCAAGATTTTCTGACCCGGGTTGCGAATTGCGGAAAAATGAATAATTATTGCAAAAATGTAGTTTTATTTTAATACCGCCCACCGGTGTACCGCCAATACGTTAATGTGTCAATGCAGCAAAAGCAACAGAGTGAAGAATTGAGGCTACGACGGGAAGAAGTGACCCGCACACACGCGCCAATTGTCGCGTACTCCGGTCTCGGCCGCGGGCCCATTGGGCCACACGTGCCTCTCGGTGCCGATCCGAGCTGCCGTCTCTCTACGCTCTTTTGCACAACTGGCAGCTTTTGTTCCGCTTTCTTATTCGGCGTCCATGTTTCTGATCCATGTCACAGATGGCCGTACGCACCGATTGAAAACTGTAGTCTTCAGATACATTAGCAGATCCTCTTTCACCTACCATAAAGGCCCTCCCACCCTGCTCTTGTTCTGTCTTTCATGGTGTTGATCGTCATTGCTTTATAAAAGCAAGAACTTTCCGCAATTATACACGGAAACACAGGGTGGCTGCATTGTGTACGCGTCACAGGCGGTATACCTGCCAGGGCTACATTTCTGACTATTAATAAGGACAACGGCGAACAATACCTAACTAGGGACACATTTTCCCCCAAGGGCAAAGAGGCATAGGCCACCCATCCACTACATCTCCCAGCTTTGCACCATGGCACACCTCCCCAGAGGCAACATTTCATACTCCGATGAGGCGGACTGTGGCATTGCAGGGTAATGATAGATGGCCACAACATAAGGATGTCGTTCATCTAGCAGTAGATTGATGACTTATGATTAAAAAAAGAGGTTTACATTTTTCTAGTTGCAGTGTAAACAGACTTAAGTATAATTCTGCCAATTTCAGCATTCTCGCTTTTCCCAAGCATCGTTAGAATTCACATCACACAGCGATTGACGGTTGTCTAATATTCTATAAAGTCTGATCACATTTTATATTTAAAGAGGCTTTAAGTTGCCAAAAAATGTACGAACTGTGGACAGACCAACCACTGTCCTGATGAGGACAACAATAAGTCAACCTCCTATTATTCTTTCAATACAAATCTAAATTCCATGCTCTTCCAAAAACCGTTGCATCATCTGACCCTTTCGACATGCAAATACATCTTATCCCAGTCTTGGTGCCACCAGGAAGCACAGGCTCACACGTTACCAAAGTTGGCTGCATCGTAGGAAAAACCCATATTACTCTAACCACACAATTAGGCTCTTGTGTACACAACACATGCCTGCTCGCCAGAGCTGGAAAGGCCTTAGAATTGGTGGTCGCCGTGACATTTACAAGCTTGTGCTTGAGCAATATTGCAAAATTATTTTTGTTACAGCACTTTGTCAATCCAGTACTGAAGAAGGCCTCCACGCCCCACGTGTGCCACGGGGTAGTTTGAATGTACAGCCCTGCGTCACGCCGCTTGGTGGGGGGTTGGCGAAGGGGGGGGGGACTAAACCAAAACCAGTTCAGATACCGCTCGCTCGCCACTGACGCAAACAGTGGTCGGGAATTAAACTCAGGTTGCCAGGTTCATGGCTCTGAACACGAACAATCGCGCACCGGTTCGTCCATCAGCCCTCGTAGGCGCCTGGAAAAAATCCGCTTACTCATCGTCCCCTTATCTGGCAGAGTTTACACGGCCCCTGTTGAAGGAGAGCGGCGCACTTTACCAGGGCCGATAGACACAGGGCCATATCGGCACTGAACACCGGAGCCACGTGGGTGACAACACGCGTACGCTTTGGTTTTATTTCAGGGTAGCGCTCGCTCTCGTCACCTTGGACCCCCCCCCAGGTGCCTCGCCCTAACAAGCGCTATTCCAACTGAAGAAAACGTCACAACATTCACAGTGACCTCGTGCATGTAGAGTCCACAATTAATCCGTCAAAAGTACATCTACAAACACATCTGAGGCTATTTCGGGGACAAACAAATGACCTCATCATGCCATTAAAGGATTGCGCTTAACATTCCAGTGGTTTTAAAATTATATGTCAACCCGTCTTGCCGCCCGTGTCATCTCTAATGCCCAATAAGCGACTATCTTTTCCAAAACAGTCCGTAGCTAGAGCTGCTTTAGGGGCCATGCGAACATGCTGGAAAGTGACGTCCACTAACTGCCGACTCACTGTGAGTCTGTGAACATGGTAACGTACAGCATACAGGATGTATTAATTCATTCATACGGGATGTACGTTAAAGTTATACGAGTGTAACACACGCAATACCGTTTGAGCAATCCTGGGTCAAGTCACTACCAAATGGATGCGTGAACATAAGCACACATCTAATTGGACCTATCCAAACATCTTTTCCACTGCACAGCCAAGCCACGCTGACACCATGCCGAGCCAGCCCGGCACGTTTTAGGCCATGTGAGATTTATTTCTCCACTGCAGAAACTGAGGCGTGCGCCATGCCACCAAAGTGACAAGTAATGAACGAGTCCTAGATGCATAATGATGACGGGGTGACGCTGCATTTGAATTATACCGCCGAATGACGCCACACACAATGAACGCGTCATCCCTGCCCCTGGCACTGCTTGTTAGGACAGCGTAATCACAGTCCAATTCTCACTCGGCACGGTAAACAGCCAGTTGGCTCGGCTCAGATACGCCAATGGAAATGGGCGTACGTATTGATTGTACCGAGCTTAATCTCTTCCACCTACGCACTGTGGCCCAGTCGCGAACCCAGGGAGGGCACACCATCATCAGGCAACAACGCAAGTAAGGTCGCTATGTACAAGTTTTGCTTGAAACGAAGAACTCACAAGAAAGCCTGAAGGCCAACGTGCTTTGGAGGAAGGTTTGGTGGACCATGCAAATCTCCCAAATCCACTGGGCTTCATGGTGGCCAGTACTGCAACTGTATTGTGAACCTGTCTGTGTAGAACTTTTAATGATATCCTCCTGCGCGCATGAGGTTAAAAATAAGAATATTTATCCTGTAGAAATCCAATGAGCTATGAAGCTCTTTTTCACAGATGTCCAGATGGGGGGGGGGGGGGGGGTCAGATATTTAAGGTTTCTCTAGACACTCATTGCTGGAAGTGGCCAAGCATCTCAATAAAGTCAGTTGCACATGATGCCACTTTTTTGTATTCCTCCTCTCAATAGCATGTATTTACACTTTACTTTCCCAATGTCTCTACAAAACAGTCCAAGTCACAGATGCGAACGCACTACCTTAGTGCGTTTGCAAGACCCAATGCAGAAGATCCTGTTGAACTTCCATGAAGCTCATAGGCCACAATAAATCATATTCACTGCACGAACCATGGCAGTAGATGTGGATGATACCTGATGCACAAATGGAAAATTAAAAACTCTCCATTAGTGGTGTGCGTCTGTGGTCATCCAGAACAGACCATACAACGAAAACGACACAATGCCCGATCCACAAATAGGAATGAGCCATCACAGCGATACACTCCGCTACTCCTGACACATTTGTCTGGCTTGACCACCTGAATGTGAAATTGTAGTTGTTTCTCTGCTTCAACATCAGCCATACATGAGAACAGGAAGACTACTTGAGTTCTATAGAAAGTAGTTTCTTGCCATATGCATCCCTATTGTGCCATATCCATATCAGTGCACACCCAGACAGCATCGCTATTCCTAATCCTCCACAGAGGTAGAGAGCTGTCACACTGTGGAAAACACCAGGAAATCACATTATAGGCCTCTGTTCTATATCCTTTAAGGGCCTATCTATGCAACCACTACGCTGCATTCTCTTCAGCTGTGCAAATGCTTAACGCCGTCTCCCATCTGTCAAATAAGCCGTGGAGTTAGTGGGCTTAACAAGGTGAAAAATGCGAAGCTGAAATCGTTCAACTTGGAGCATAAAAAAAATCATCGTGGGAGCCCTCAGGCTTCCAGCCGGGACGTCTGTGGCACTGCACAAGCGCTGACACAGAGGCCTCAGTCACACAACCACATGCGCGACATTGGATGAGAACAAATATAAATGAACCCCTTTGACTCGTAATTATTTTTTTCACATTTTATAAAAGCGGTTTGAATGAAGTCACGACCAAGAAGTGCGTGTGTTTATGTTTGTATACGTCACGCATGAGAGAGCAGCCATGTCCTGTCGGGTGCTTTAAACGATTGTTGTCCTTTAACAAACCCGTGGCTTGAGAAAAAATAAATCAACAAATGCACGTCAATAATTTACAGTCCCAGAGATCACGAGATGTGAAACACCCTAACCATACATGGTCTCAAGCGAGTGAGATTTCTTGTAGTCAGGCAATCCAGTGACTCGACCCAGGATTTGTATTAAACTCGCAGCACCATGCACGTCCTTTGTATGTGACCATCCATCCGTACCTCCCTCCATCAGGCCAGCCAAACTTTTAAAGTAACATAGTTGGTTAAAGTACCCATCCTTGAACAAGGTTCCCACCACCCCACCGCTGGGTGCCCCCATCTCGCACGTAATAACCCCCCAGGACCCCCATCGTTACATCGCCCCCTATTGCTGGGCTGTCTGTGAAACGTAGTGCCTTCACCGATAGCCCCGTAGTTCTGAGAATGGCGCGAATACCAACTTACACATGATTACCATTCTATACTGTTATTAACAATTATTTCCTCACACACTCACCAGGCAGGCGGTTCATGTTGACTCCCTGGGCAGAGAGCCCGATCCCCATGTACCTGCAACCACGACAGGGACAAGGAATATCAGGGCCTGCACCACACACCTCCTCGCAGGAGCAGCAGCAGCTACTGCTTAGGATGGCGGCGCGTAACAACGCGTCGTTTCCACAGAAAAAACCCATTACGACCCTCGCCGTGCATCAAAACCGATCGGTTGTCCTTTGATTCACGCGTTCGTATATCTTGTACACAATGGCATTCAAAGTGACCCCTGCAACTACTGGAGGCCGCCACGTTAAATGTAACCACGCCGTTGGTATGTCAGCCAAGATGGGTAACCTTTGTCAATGACCAACAGGCTACTGGGAGCGGAAGTCTTTTTTAAAATGCAACGTGAATATCTGTGCAATCGCGAGATGCGTACATCACATTATCTGTGAAGAAAACGAAATTGACTTGGGCCGAACACATCACTCGAAGCTAGTGGGTGACACGTACAGCAGTGACAGCCAAAAGAAAAAATGCGTCCAAGGGGGCCCTCAAAAGTGGAGATGGAGCGATGAAATCAGCTCGGGTGCAAGGAGCTCGATCGTTGCTTTGCAGGATGAGGAATGGTTATAGTTTGTGGAGGCTTAATTTAGCAGTGGATAGACCATGGCTGTTAACGACAATCAATCAGCACACAATGGCACAAACTCATAACAGGCCAGTAACATCCACTTCACAGCAGACTTGAAGCTATTTTTTTTATTTGACCCATTAAGGTCCACTGAGCTATGTAGCTCTTTTTCATTAGCGACCTGACCACAAATGATAGCTCAAATAAGTGGCTTATCACGTGGACATTTATAGCTGCCAAATACTCTTAAACGCACGTTCATTCGAAAATGTGGAGGGAAAAACCGGAGGACCCGGAGAAAAATCCACGCGACCACGGGGAGAACATGCAAACTCCAAATATACAGGCATCGTCATGGTTGGGACCGAAACCACAACCCTCCTGTATAGCAGGCGAGGGAGTTAACATCTCCTAGCCAGCGCAGTGTGCACACTTTACCCCATAACATGTGACCTGCCAATTGACTCACTTGTGGCGTGGCCATTCACGCTGCTGGGTGGAATAGAGGCTGGGGGGTTTTAAAAAAAAGTGCCTAGTAGTTTGAATTACCGAGCTGGGAGATGAGTCTAGTGTGTTAACCATTACACCACAGCAGCATTCTTAAGGTTAGTTATTGGTCTCATGTAAAAACAATAACAATATGTTCTTAATCACAGGTGTCAATAAACCACAAGCTGCACTGACCAGCATGGTGCGGCATGGTCACACAACCCCCAGAAATGAAGGAAGTGTGAGGTCTTCATCCAGTGCTATGTTTGCAGCGGGATATAGATTATTATTGCTACTACACTTTGTGCAATCTGGTATTCAAACGCGAATAATACAGGGGGTTGTGTGAAAGAGGGCAACCGATGATGAATTGAGTTTTGAGAGTAGGCTTGATGCATTATTTAAACCACAATGGAATAAGTAGAGTAATTCAACATTAGCATAGGGTGATGGGTGTTGGAGACAGGAAGTGTGTGTTTAATTGCATGGGTGGGAGAGAAAAGGAACTGGTAAATAAGCCCCTGGCCATTGATAAAAGGTGCATTCAAAGGCTGCGGGGGAGTGCTCATGACAGCACAGGGGGAAGCAACTTTGAAGTTGGGAATGGAACACAGAAATAACATCTCCGATGTAATCTGGAAGGTTGTCGATGGGTGGGGCCATGCGCAGGGCGGTGGAGGGGGGGACTGGTTACCGGGAGGAACTGGGGAGCGGCTCCCAGAGGTCAGCAACCAAAAGGGAAAAGCGAAGAGCAAATGGTGGGGAAACGCTCAGACAGCAGTTATCAGCCTGCGGCATGGATACCGTGCAGGAGAAGTTTGGAACGTCAGCGCAACGTGCATAGGGAACATCAGTGCCATTTTGCGGCAACAACACACACACACACACCGGTACATGGCACATGAGTGGACGTGTGCTTTCTCCGTGTGCTGTGGACTTCGTAACCGGGCGGGGAGGGTGGGGGAGGGCGGAGGGCCTGTGGGGAAGAGGATGGAAGCCACTGGAACCAGCGGTGCCGATTGGAGAAGCCGCCACACCAACAACGTTGAGAACCACTGCCGTAAGAGCGCATCATGGATGCTGAGGTGGTGATGACTGAGCAAAAATTGTAGAATGCAGCAAAAGACAGAATGCGACCCTGGCGTGGTTCGGTCAATTGGCCTCGGCCGTGACAACTTCCTGAATTTTAATCATTTTAAAAACAGGCTTTGCGACTGAACGATGGCCTGGATGCAACGTGCATCGTCGAGTGGAAGCGCCCAACTCACCCGTCCCGTCCCTTGCTGATGATCTTCACCTCGAAGTAGTAAATCCCACACGCCGCTGGGATCGGGTGTGTGGCGCGAACGGACGCCGCATCCTTGGGAGTTTTTCCATGTCCTAAAGCACAGCCCCAAACACATCGCAATTAACTTCACCGCACCATCACCCACACCGCCATCAAAGCCTCAACCTCCACAATAAGCAACACCGCCACCCAAACCTTCGCCTGCTTTAAGTCTACTCCCGCACCTCCGACTAACACGGTTGGCTACGTACGGTGTGAAAGCAGTTCAACGTACATACATCATAACTTACAGGTTCACCAAACATCCCCATGAACATCAAAAACCATCAGTACCATCACTATACCATTACCATCTGGAAAGATCTCAGAACCAGCTCACACGGGTTGGGCGATTCTCATGATTCCTATCATGAAATCTTAATTCCATTTTTTAAATCAGCGATTCCGTATAATCATCGGGGACATGAGGGTGGGGGGGGGAGGAGGGATTGCGGAGTCCAGCATGACTTTCAGGCAAGAAGGGAGGGCCCATGGGACCTGGCAGGCCTAGTGGATAAAGTCATGTAGGTGAAAATAAAATAACAAAAAATCACGACGTTTCGGCCACAACACAAGCGGCCTTCACCTGATGAACCTGATGAAGGCCGCTTGTGTTGTGGCCGAAACGTCGTGATTTTTTGCTATTTTATTTTCACCTACGTGACTTTACCCAATAGAACCAAAGAGTATGGATCTAGCAGTCACGATAGCTTTAAATCTAGAAAAGGCCTATTGGAATTGCCATTGAATGTGTGGCCAATGACCATGTCATAAAATGCGATGGCAATTCCATTCGCCAGATGTCCTCGATCCTAAGAGCAGCTGGCTGGAATCGCCATCATGCTACGGCAATTCTGTGACAAACTTGCCAGGAATCTGAACCGTGGACCCCAAATAAAACAATCCACAGCCACAGGGGGTTGGTCATCACCACACTACTACCCAGTCTCAGACATGATCTAATGACAATGCTATGTGCACGTGGAAATTACTTTCAGCCTGAAAAACTCATTGAGCAGATGAGGAGGCGGCTCCCGGCTGTAAAGGTCGCAAAGTCAAATCTTGTTCAGGGTCAAGTAAGCCCAGCCATTATCATCGCCGCTGGGAGTCGGTGAAACGAACAATGCCTGTAGATACCACTTGGTTGGATTTCAGTAATTATCACAGAAACATGGAATATGCACAACTGGCTAAAGAACAATAATTAAAAACCCCAACTAAGACTCTAAAAAAGAAAATTTTTGTTATATTAATTCAGTAATGGATGCATTTTTGTTCCACTCAGGATTAGGACAGGTTTCTCTACCATCAAGCCACATACAATCAATAAGATTCTAAAAGAGACAAATAATCAAACACAACTGCCCAGCCTTTTAAGATTATGAGAAGGAATTTGACTCTGTGAGAGAGAACTGACGCAGCCATCCAAGCTCTCACAAAATAAGAAATTATCTAAAGCCATTTAAAAGGACAACAGCTCCATCGAGATACACAACCATTCATAAATAATAGATAACTCATGCTTTATGTGGGATGGTGCGTGCCCTAAAAAATACAACTTGGGCAAGGCACCCGGCTGGGATAGCGGAAAGGCTTTGTTGCTTTTGCAGAACTTGCACTGTGCTACACCTGGCCAAGCCGCGAGCAGAGAAGACCCGCTTACCTGAATCGTGCTCATTAACGGGGCGCACGTCAGCCACAACATTGCCACCATGCGAAGTTGGCCTGCGACCAATCGCGAGATCTGGGCCAGCCACGTGTGACCACGTAGCGGCTCAAGGGAGCGTTCACCGGCACTGTGAGGTGGCACAGTGCTATGGTGGCCACATGACCCCCCCACCCCGGATTAGAATTGGCGAGTGGCAAGGTTGGCTGAGACCCCTCCGTTACTCCAGTGATCGCACCCCCCCAATATGATGATGTCCGCAAATTCCCAAACCCACAGTGCGCTGTATAAAGTTAACACTAAAGACCCTGTGAGCATCGTGAGCAAGAGCACATCGTGTACTAACAAGACACAAAGAGCGCCTCCTTCGAAACATACCCCGAAATAACGTCGCATTAATTACTGCCAAGTGCTTTTACCGCGTTACAACTCGCCAGGTCTTTCCTCACAAGAGGTAACGATCGTAGAGAGCCGACGTCTGGTTAAATGAAAGGGACAGGGACTGAAACGGGCCAAGAGCCCTGGCCGAGTGACATGGTGCAGCGTGTTTGTGCACTCCCGTTTGTTTTTCTGAAAGACCCAACTGCTGCGCTAATGCAGCATCCAACTGCTGCTTAAAGAGAAACGGGCGCGACAGCAAGAGACGAGGGCCAGTGGCAGCGCACACCGCACCAGCTGTGCTTACAGTGCGCATGAAAAGTAAAACCAACGCTCAACAGCGGCCTCCAGCAGCCAAACAATGAGCTAGCTGGAGGCCCCCCCCCCCCCCCCCAAGGCAAAACAAATTTTTACCCTTCCCCAATTGACGAAAACACTTCCGTTAATATTTTTAAAATTGGGGCTTATTTTACTACGGGGAAGCCAGAGTTAATAGTCTTCGCATTTTGTTATGCATATATACCGAGTACGTTTCTCCTTTGCTTAATTTAAGAGCACTCGACTCACAATGAGAAGGTTGAGCGTTCAATGATTGGTTTGGGGGTTGTTCGGGACCATCATCTCAGCAAGGCATACAAAGTGAGCACCGCTCTGTGGAGTAGTCAACAGTGGTAGTCCCGTGCAATTTTCACAGCAGCCAACGGGGTTGTGCAATGCCCACGCGTGCGAGCAAAGTGAACAGACTCGACTATATACTCATTCAACACGCCGCGTTACACAGACTGTGATATACGGTGTCCATATATAGCGCGCGAGGCAGAGTTGGGGGGGGGGGGGGCGGCACAGCAGTGGGGATCACACTGTACGATGCAGTCGGCGACACGAGTTCCGATTTCTGGTCACGGCTAACATTAGCGGAAAGTGGCGTTTGAGCGGCCCGTGCCTTCAGCCACCCCGACCTTCACCGACCGGCACTACTGACCAATGTGAAGTAGTGTCAATCTACCCGCCTTCACTGACGCGGCGCGGGGAGGCCTTCTTCCAGCGATGGACTGACGAAGGGCTGCAAATTAATGTGTCCGACAACACGCGCACATATTGTACAAGCACTGCCGGTGTACGCTCTGCGAGGCACGGGAGCTTTCCAAATACACACTTTGCATGCTGATTCTCTACTGCGCCCGCCGTCACACGTTACGTGCATCCGGCGTGTGGGTGCATGACACCCAAAAGTGTCTGCACGCAGCACCGCAAAATGTAACGTTGCAAGTATTTTGTGCAAGAGACCTGTAACAAAAATCTACACGAAGATTACAATGAACCATCTTTCTCTGCTCCCAACCGCATTTCCCCCCCCTGCACGGGGTTCTTCATTTGGCCTGCTGAGACAAAGAGACGCAGAATGGTGAGATGAATAAGGCCAAGATGAGAGCGCCGTAGACGAGAAAATACAGATTTGTGGAATTATGGAAAGGTGATATGTCACAACCACGTGTGACATCATATCAAATGTACACATGACACACGGCATCGCGTGATCTGCAAGCCCATGCTAATTTTATTACTTGGCCCACTGGAAAATGTAGCTGACAAATCGCTGCTCGCTTACCTCCTCTTCGCTCTAATAGGCCCCCAGCCCTTTGTGCAAATGTGTTTAAGACACTGGTTGCAGACACAGCTAAGAAAATAAGGTCTATACATTATGATTGTAATTTTTCCAGGAAGGTCTCACCGAGTCTCAAGACTTTTTCAGGAGTGATCTGCATTGGAATGTGCGGTTCATTCCTTTTTAATAAGCGGAAAATCTGGAGCAGCCAGAAAAAAAAACTACAGGCAAACGTCCACACAAATGGATCCACAAACCTCGAGAATGGACTGCTATCTCAACACCTCACAGCCCAAAGGCTTGGAAGGAACCGTCTCGTGTGACCATGGCACCACACTCGTTATTCATAAACGTGTTACGTCTCAGGTGGAGAAGTAAAATATAACTTTCTCCTCTCTGCCCTCCTTACTCACGAGTCTAAACATCAGGGCACCCGGCAGAATGCTGGCATATTTCACACTCGCACACATAAATGTGACCACATTACTCCAACAACCAAATACCAATCACAGATCAACGACAAAATCACTGTCTTTATGATCCTTTGTGGGCTGCCCACGCAGCTCTCCACTCCCCACCACATGTGCCCTCAACTCCAATGGTTCATGGCAACACCAATACACCCAGTCGACTACTCCTCCTCTGTCTGCTGGAAATAACGCTTTCCCCCATCAACCATGCTGCCAACTCCTTCTCCCCTGCTCCAGTCGGGGTACACCAACTTCCTTTTCTGCCATGCCTATGACCGTTTCTCTCTGTCCTGTGTTTTCATCCCCTGCGATGCTACTATTAACACTGTGACACTTGTCTACCCAAGAAAGCCTCACCGAGTCTCAGGGTCCTGCCAAGTTTTCACTGTAGGGGGCAATGTTCCTCTGCGTAATCCCAAATGAGTTAAATTTCAGGTAATTTTTCAGAATTTGGATGTTTCGCCGACATTGGTTGCAATGTATGTTTTGCCATGGGAGGAAACCGGTTAAACCCAGAGGAAATCCAAGCAGAACACGGGGATAACACACCAACACACACAACGCTCTCTTTGCCTCTCCCTTGCCAGGTCGCAATCCCCATCCTCCTGTGGAGTTGCGACACACGCGTTGCTCATCCGTGCACAATGTGTCGAGATGCAGTGGAACCTAACACGCCTTGAACTCGCAATTGTATTGTATACACTGCATGTTACATAATGCACTCTGTCAGGGATTTCAGATATTGTGCTGGCAGATGTGACACGTGCATTAACTTAAGACCGGTGTGAAATGTTACAAAAATATTATGACAAACCCACACAGGAAAGCATGTGCAAATATACAATACTTAGTAGAGTATGTTTGACAATATAAAACTATATTTATCCCAGTGATAGGGTGCCCCACAGAAATATAACATTTAATTCTGCACTA